ACATTTTAAAATTTTATATAAACTTATATTTATTTACGTGTAAATATACGAATAAGTGAGTTTGTAGTTAGATGATGAAAATTAACTGTTATCCAAGCTATTGCTAAGCTATAGGAAGATTTTGGGTTTGGTTGAAGTGATATAATGAATGTAGAATGGTTTCTCTTCATCTTCTGCAGACACGTACATACAAGGGCCCAAAATTTTATTTAGATGGTCTAGAGGAAGGAGGTTCTTAGTCTTCTTCCTGCCACCTTGCACAACTTTCCATATGACAGTTGTTATTTGTTAATAATCTAATCTAAAAAAATAGTATAAGTTTAATAACAGTGATGATCAGGTCATCATCCCAAAATTTTATAATTTATATATATATATATATATATATATATTTATAAAAAATAATTATTATTATACTATATATATATATATATATATAATTTTAATATCTTAAATTTTTTTTTATTTTACTTTTTATATTTATTATTTATAATAATATATTTTTAATTTAAAATTATTCATCAAAGATCCACCACTCTTTAAGAGTATAAACACATATTAGAGTTAATTATTAATTATTATTATTAATGTTATTATTACTATAAAGATACTGGTAAGAATTTGGTAGTTAGGAAATATCTCAACCAGAATAGAGTTATAAGTTAATTATTGTTTGTATTGAGATGAATTAAAAAAAATATTATTTAAATTAGTAAATTAATAATAATTAATATGATTGATAGAATTAGTTTAATTGGAATAAATAATTAAACTATTTTTTATAGAAATTAAAATTTAAATGTTTTAATATGAAGTAATTAATTAATAAAATAGATAAACATAAATAAATAAAATTTAATATCAATTTATATAAGTTAAAAATAAATTTATGATACTTTATAAACATATAATAATTTATAAATAATATTAAGTTATAAAAATTATTTCAAGAAAAAGTTGTAGTTTTTTTATATTTTTTACAATAAATTATTTAATTAAAACTATTATTATGAAATTATAATAAAATAAATTATGAATTATTAAACATATTAATTTTTATCAAATTAAAATTTGTTGAAAAAAAGTTTTTTTTTTAAATAATAAAATGAATTTGAGATTGAGTAGGTCAAAAAATTATATATATTTTTTATTAGATGATATATAATTGTTAGACAAATGACATCTAGAGGGAGTGAATAGATATACAAATTAAAATAGATGTCAAATTAAAAATTTATTTTAAGATATCTAATATTTATTAATTCAATTTTAATTATCAAATTGAACAGATATAAGCGGAAGTGATATAATCAGAAAGATAAGGGGAAGAAAATAAGTTAATGTTATCACAGAGGTATAAGAAAGAGAAAAACATACAGTAATTTATACTAGTTCGGGTATAGTCAACCCTACGTTCAGTTCCCAGTCAACTCTTAACACAAGAATGACCCCAATTCACTATCTTTTAAATTCAGTTCATAAATTACAATCAACTAAGCAAAAAGCAAACTAATTCAAAAGATAATCACCTTCTTAGAAACCCACTAAAGATGAACACCTCCCTAGAATTCTACTAGGGATGAATACATCATCTGAACAAATCAAAGGATAAAAACACCTCATTAGAATCTCACTAAGGATGAACACCTCCCTAGAATCACACTAGGGATGAACACCTCCCTGAACAAATCAAATGGATGAACAGTTCTCATACAGGAAATCCTAAAATAACATTGATTAACTTAAACCTCTTAAACCCACAAAAGGATAAAGGTAATAAAATAAGAATCGTCACACCTGGGTAATGGAGACAACAAATTGTAAAAGTCAGTAGAATGTCAACCTCCAAGAAAAATTATGATTAACAATGAAAACACAGTAGACAATGGAGAAGAGAGTTTTGGTAAAATATCTTTATGACAACGGAGAAGAGGATTTTCTCAAAACATGTGAAATAACTTAAAATTCTTTTCTCAAAACTGATTGAATGTAAATTGTATTTTCGAATTCTGTAATTGTGTGTCTTTGATTTTTCATCAAAACTTAATTAAATAAAAAAAATAACATCAGAAAATAACCGTTGGTCATTTATAATATCATAGAGAAAATAAGGATGTATCCAAAAACATTTATTCTTCAAAATGGATATATATTTTCAAATTTGAATTGTCATAATTGATTATGTTACCAGTATAATCAATTATGAAAGACAAAATCATTTTTCCATTTCTGATGCATCATAATTGATTATGACAGTGAAAAATATCATATGTTACGAAATTTTATCGCACTTGTGATTTGGAGACTTATGCATAATATTACTTCATCAACTTGTACCTTTATATCCAGTATTATAAAACTCTATATAGTCTTCAGAAATCATCTTGGGTTTGCTTCAATCATCATCTTTATTAAAATCATATCTTGGTCATGCAGGGAAATGTTTGACATTGTCACCAATGTCTTTAATTCAATTTGTCCTTAATTCATCTTGATGTCCTAAATTCAATTCATATTGAATGATGTTGACTTAAATCATCATTAAAATCATCTTTTAGAAATGTAGGCACATTTTCATCAATCTTCTCTTCAATGATTTCAATAATAAATATAATTTTTATAATTATTTTAAAGATAAATTAATTGTAACTTAAAATGTTAATTTTATTTTTTATAAAAATTATCAAAACAAAATTAATATAAATGCAAATATAAGTATTTAATTTATTAAAAAATTTATACAAAATTAAAATCATAATTAATTATCTCATATTCCATTATGTTTACATAAAGATAACATAATCTATTATAAAAGTAGTGTATGTTACAGTGACTTTTTGGTTATTTCTTTACACATTTATATAATGTGATATCCATTATATGGGTTGTATTGTTATTTATGTACAAATCAATTTAAATATATATAATTAAACACAATAAATCTATTAAAACTCATATATGTAACATGATAAGTGTTTAATTTTATTTTTTTAATAGTTGATTCATCAAGCAACTTAAAAGTATCTTCAAAGAAAGTTTTTAACAATAATTATTTAAGAATAAAATTAAATATTTTATTATGAATTTCATAGTTTAGTTGCTTAAGTCATGATTGCTTATCCAAACAATTTTCTTTGAATTTTAAACAATTTTCTCAATTTTTAAGCAACTCATATGTGAAACATATAATAAAATATTTACTTTTATTCCTAAGCAACTCTTTTTGGACATGCTCTAAAAATAAGCAAATCAAAATAAATAAAATGAGAGAATAAACTTTTTGAAATTTATTAAGAAAACTTCTAATGAAGTAAAATTAATAAGAAGTTGTTTTAAAATAATGTGACATCATAAATCTTTATTTTAATTTTTTAAGATAAGAAACCACTTGAGTTCTCTCATTGGATATGTCTATTTTATTTAAAATTTTTAATAAGTAACTTCCATTGAAAATACTCTTAGTAAGCAAATTAAAATTAGTCATTAAATATATTCACCATAATTTTTTGAGTGTTATAATAGTATAATATTTTAAATGTTAAAAAAAAAGGAAAACCTAGTTTTATACAAAAAATATCACCATACCCATTATGGTAAATGAACATTATTTACACCGTATTTAAAATTGGATCAGATATTAAAAATCAGTTTGTTGCTTTCAAATAATTATATTTTAATTAAATCAGAACAAAATTAATAAAATTGGAAAAATTATCTAAATTTTTGGGTTAAACCAATTTTAATAAAATAAAAAAAATTTAAGATTAATTTTTTATAATATAACTTTTTTATAAAATATATAATATATTTTAATTATTTTATCTCATACATCAACTTTAAATAATAATTGTTTTATTATATTTTTTATTTTATTTTAATAATTATTCATATTTCATTTTTAATATATTTTATATTTATAACTTTTATGAATAATTATGATAATAATTTTTATTATTTATCTTTTATTTATAAAAAATATTATTACTAATAAATTTATTATATTATAAAAATATTATTTTATTAAATATATTTTAATTATGATTAAATTTTTAATCTTTGAACTAATATCATTATTCGACAACCTATCTGATTTAAAAAATATAAATGATTTTGTATGCACTGAAATATATGTAACAAAGGTAGAAATATTTAATAAATTATACTTAAGTATGTAAAAACATGATAGTCAATTTAAACCCTAATATTTTAATTATTTATCTATAATTACAAATATTTAAAAAACTCAATCGAAATAGTTAAATATTATATTTAATTTTATTTTGTTTTTATAAACGTGGGCCACAGTGGTGAGAAGCAAATAATTCAAACAGTTTGTGTTAGTCCATCGTTCATCTCCCTTAGCCCACACAGAAAAAAAAAAAAGAAAAATAGAATAAAGAAGAGTTTGGCACGAAACGAAACGCGGAAGTAAGGTGATGATGGTATAATGGTATTGGTCGGGTCACCCACAGGTCTACAACCTGCGGCCATACCATACCAATACCATTATCATACCTCTGCTGTGCACGACCTTCCAAATCCCAATTAACATCTCAAAACCAAATCAAATAAAATCAATTATATTAATCAAGGGTTTGGTTTTTCTTCTCGAATATCCTCAATCCTCATCCTCTCTGTACTATCCTCTGCTCCATTATCCACAACTTCAAACTCTTAATCGATCAATCTCTATATCACTTATCGGATCCATACCTCAGATCTACGTCGTTTAGTCACTGATACTCCCTCGTCGTTTCGATCTACCCCTTGCCGTTTCCTTTTCCATTAATTTAGATCCCCTTACGTTACATTAGAACTTCACCTGTTGCTGCCAAAGCCAAAGCAACAGAACAAGGAATCTTCCAAGATTCTTTTTCTGCGTTTATTAGCCTTTCAGAGAGGAACGGAACAAACTCTTCTTTAACTCATCTCATATATTCAATCTCGATCGATCGCCTTTCCCAAACCTCTTTGGTTTGGTCCACGCGCTCACTCCTGGGATGGATTTGGACGATTTCCGATCCATATTGGACACCTCGGGCGTCGACGTGTGGATGTTCATCGACGCCGCAATCGCCGTCGCCTCCGCGGACTGCGCCGCCGAATTGAAGCGCCGCCGCGACGCCATCGTAGAGAGCCTATACTCCGCCACTGCCGCGCCTCCGCAGTGCCGGAATTGCGACGAAGGCCACCGCCTCAGGCCCAACGGCCATCAAATCACGAAGCAGAACAGCCCTAGCCCTAGCCCCGAGCGGCAACCTCACCAACGCCGCGCCGCCGCCGCCAATTCCCCGGCGACGCCTCAGTCTCCGGACAACGATGATGGCGGCGAGGAGTTGGATCCTTACGGTGGTTTGTTCGACGACGAACAGAAGAAGATTCTAGAAATTAAAGAGCAACTCGAAGAGCCTGACCAGGTATTGTTAATTGTTCAAATAAACGAGTGTTTATCCAGATTGAGATTACAAGTTTAATTAATGTTTTTGTTTGATTTGGCTTGTTTTGTTTCTCCTTTGTAGTCCGAAGATTCCTTGCTGGAGTTGCTACAAAGCCTAGCGGACATGGATATTACATTCCAAGCTTTGAAGGTAAGTTAGTTTTCTCACGGAACGTTTTTCTTTTCTTTAATTTTTTTATGCCTTACTTAACAGGGTTTGAATTTTGATTCCTGTAGGAAACTGACATCGGGAGGCACGTGAATCGGTTACGGAAGCATCCTTCAAACGAAGTTCGTCGATTGGTGAAGCTGGTTGTCAGGTTTCGGAAGAGATATAAATATAATTTCATTTTTCTGCGGAAATTAATGCTGTTGTCGTATTTGCAAGAGTTTCAATTGATTCAATTGTTTCCTTTTTTATGTTATTTGCAGGAAGTGGAAGGAAATTGTGGATGAGTGGGTGAAGTTGAATCCACAGGGAGGAAGCAACACTCTGATGGGTAATCTTGATTATCAATTAATTATTAATTATTAGGTTAATATCGGGGATTTTCTGAAGGGCATGTGAAATTATTAATGGTAATTAATGATGATGTTGGTGGGGTATTGGCAGCTGATGGAGACTCGCCTGTGCAGAAAACCACCCAAAATGGACATCATCATCATCAGGTTGAGGTCAAAGAAATCTTTTTCGCTTAGTGCTTTTTTTTTTCCTTGGAAAGTTGAGCTAATAATATTCATTCTTCTATTCCTTTTGCAGATTCCTGATTTTGCATACTCGCCAAATCCACACAGTTAGTATAGTATAGCATATTGGCATCTGATTCAAATCTTTTGGGCACTGTAGTTTACATTTGGATGATATGGTCTATATGCTGACGCAGATGGGAGCTCAGGGTCTGACCGTAACAACTCGGAAGCAGAACACAAACCAAAAGTAATTCCCCGTAATGAACCTCGACCAAAACCCGCGCCAGCACCATCCGTTTCAACCCCTGCTTCCGCTTCTCAAAACGTACGGATATGATTTCACAACCATTTTGGTGTCTCTGAAATATGAATGTGGTGGTGGGGTTCATCTGTTAAAGTAAAAGGTGTCTTAAGTGGTGCTGACGTAGTGTTGAATGATTGCAGAGACAGAGGGACAGCAGTTTTGACGCCGAGAGGCTTGCTTCAGCCAGAAGGCGGCTTCAAGAGAACTACAAAGAGGCCGAAAATGGTGGAATTTCGTCTCTAAAATTTCATTTTCATGTTGTGATATTTCATTATCTCTCTCTCCCTCTCTCTGTATTACTGACGTGTAATTTGGTGTGTTTGTGCGGTGTATAGCCAAAAAGCAAAGAACGATTCAGGTGATGGACATCAATGAATTACCAAAGTCAAAACCCAAGAATGCCTTCTTTGGGAAGAACAAAGGTGGTGGTGGTTCTCAGGGAAGGCACTGGTGATGATGATGATGATGCATGTTTCCATTGTTGGTGGTGCCATTTTGCGTGTAAAAAACACAGCCTTGTGGGGGTGTCGGATAAGTCCCAAACCCTGTTCATCATCCCTGTGGATTTTTCCTCCGCTCATAAACTTTTTGTTTTTTTTTTCCCTTGTGGTTTTTATTTAAGTTAATAATAACCGAAAAAAAGAACTCCTCAATATTATTTTTTTTCTTTTAAGGGTACCCATCGAACCCGCGTTTGTCGGTTTATTGAGGAGCACGTGATTCAGAAAACAGGATAGAGATGGGACGGGGGTAGGGCTAAAATAGGTTTTTCCATGTGGATGCAAGCCATCGATTTTGAGGGCGAAGTTTGAATTCTGGTACATTAGGTTTAAGGGATGGTTTTCTCCATTAATTACACACTTTTTTCTCCAAGAAAAACAACAAATGGAAGTCAAGAAGTGATCACACTATATACTTTTACTCCGGTTGGGTGGGAATTGGTTGGTGTGGATTAATGATGGGGTCTTGGGTCTTAAACTTTAGGATGTTGACACCTTCACAACCTGCTTAATGAGTTCGAATTCTTTGCCGTAAAAAATGTGTTTTATTTGGTGCAGCAAGCCATTTACGACCTGTCTAATAATTGAAACACCACAAATGGACAAAAGTCTAAAGTTACGGGGTATTTCTGTCAAATGAAAAATTCTTCTAATGGCCTATTGTTTGTTAAGCTATACAGTTAGGCACTTATTAGTCATACAAGTTACGTAACATGTTCCTAGTGTCACTAATATTGGTGTGGAGCTGTGTGAGGTGGTAGGGAATCTGTAAATATTTAACACTTTCACCAAAAACTTCTGGTGGTGTGTAGTAAACCCTCACTTTTGGGCTTAGTACAGTGCGTCATTTTGGGCTTCTTGAGTACATTACACAACTTAACACTTTTATTTTCTGAAAGGTTCCTTTTAATTTAAAGCAATGGGTAATTTGTAGGCTTTAAGGAATTGAAGATTTGGTGAATTTAGCTATTTTAAAAACGATCCATTCATTCCATATCTGAGTGCTTCATTTCAGGTGAATATCTTGTGAAAAATCTACTCTATCTATTGAGAGTTTTTTAAACTTGTATTATAAGATTTTATAATCCTAACTCACTAATAACAATGCTATAACTATACATTAACGAAGAATAAAATGTTTCCACTTAATGATAGTCGGTACGTACGAATTCATTAATCAATTTGCTAAATTAAAAAAAATAAAAAATCCCACTTTCTATTTTATATTATTTTGATGAAAATTATCTGACTACTCAACGTCAATAAATGCAATTTGTTGAAGTCAAATAATAAAATAGTAATGATAGCATATTTTTCTTCCAAATTAACTCTGACAGATAAATGGAACTACTTATCTGGATGACTGAAGACGAGTCAAAAATAAGTTTATGATAAATGCTATTGTTTTTTATACAAGAAATATCATGTTAGCATGAGTATTATTCATTTAAAATTCCATTAAAACTTAACTACTATCTTTAAAATCCATGTAATATAAAAAATTAAGAAATAAAGATGAAAAGATAAGAAAATAAAAAATTCAAGTATATGGCTTAGGAAAAAAGTAGCCTCTTGAGATGCTAAATTTTGTCTGGACTAGTTTTTAAACTGAATTAAATACGTAAGTATTTAAAACTTTTTAAAGTGTAAACGTGATTTTTTTATATAAATATTCTTATTCAAAGTAACTCTTTAAAGTGTTTTCATTTTAATAATAGTTCCTGTGTTTTTTTTTTTTTTTTAATATTCAAATATAGAACATTGTCAAATTTGTGAGATTAGAATGTGATGGACACGCACCATTATAAGTCTAAATAAAAGTCACCCAAAATACATTATGTAAAAAAGAAAACCAGGTTTTAGTTCAAATTACAGACAAATAAGACAATACTCAAATTATGCCGCAATGGTTGATACAAATAGATTGTCCACCTATGCTCATCATGCAACTCAAAATATAAACGCATATGCAGATAATTGATATTCAATGCCTACTCATTTGCATAAATGCAGGAATATTGAGTTAGTGTCACCTCTTATCAATGTTAAAACTCCATAGATATGCAGTAATTTATATGAAGAAAAACCCTTTACCTACTGCTTTTTCTTTCACTAAAGGTCATCATCATCCCTAAGGCTTGGTATATTTTTTAACTTAGCTAGTCATAAAATTATTATTTTCACTAAATTACAATAATATTAAAGGATGAACGTGTGATTGTTTATCAAAATAATATATTTTAATTAATATTTATTACCAGTTCATTAGTCATGATTGTGTGTCACTGCACAGTGAATTATTTTTTCCCGTTGACTTCCTGCGTTTTTATATAATATAAATAAATTATTATATTCAAAGATATTATAAAAGAACAAAATTTTAATCAGTTATTTTTTTTCTTGATTATTTTCTCCATTTTAGACTCCGTTTCTCTTGGATGGTAGGTGACCTTTGCCACCCAATTGCAATGAAGATAATAATTTTCACTTGAATCCATTGTTTAATGTACTTTGTTTACTATTATACCACAAATATCATCCATAAGCTTTTCTTTGCTTGCTCCATCCATTTCATCAAAACAATCACACTTTTATCTTGAGTTAGCTAGATATGTAACTTCATATATGTTCCTAAACTACCTCTCAAGTTTCATACCTTACTCACCAATTTCATGATAACTCTCTTGTAATTTGCTTTTCAAAGTATTTTTATCAATGGATAAGATGAATTAAGAGGGTCAAAATGAATATGAGATTATGAAACACTTTGTCAAAATTGCTTAATAGACTGACATTGACATGTAATTGTTGTTTTTGGAGCTTTCCCATGCATTTAAAAAAGATAGACGGACAATCTAATATAAACAAACATTCATTTAACATTTTATTTATTTATTAATAAAACAATAATTTTTAATTAATTTTATTTTAAATCAATCACTTTATGAATATAATATTAATAATCAAAATTATACAACATATGTTTTTGTTTTCATGGTTATATATCTTCTTTTAATAGCAATTCACACTCAAACAACATTGTACATGCTAATTAGCTTTGATAGTTTGAGAAAAAAATTGGATAACGGTAGTTGATTTCTATGACTTTTTTGTGGTTTTCGCATTGTATAAGTTGGGTTATGTTTTGCAATAATTGATAAAATGACCAATTGTGGTTAATTGTCATTGTTTTTGAATTGTCATATTTATAGGTAAGATTGAAATCGTTTGAATTGTCACATCTATAGGTGAGTTTAGAAGACATGATATTTGTTCAATAGACATAAACTTAGCATATAATTCAATCATTGCATTAACAAGAAATTGAGACTGACAATTTATCATCATTTCATACACATTAAGATTCATTAATATTTGAGCCTTATCATATGTAATTACACCATTCTTGTTCATTTTCAATTGTCAAAAGTACAACTTTTTGAATGATGTATTGTTTATAAATTCTAAAGTTGCGTAAACTTTTGTTAAGATATATGTAAATATATTTTGTTTTTGTAATTTAGGTAAGCATATATTTGGTTTATAATTAGTTTCCTAAATATATGTCTCGATATTATTAATTACCTAATTAGTTTTCTAAGATTACGGCTTGTACATTATTGTACATGATATTTATTCCAAGTCAGTGAATGAGATTAATGGAGGAAAATATTCTTTTATGATATCAGATTTCTAGGACAATTACGCTTCTTCTTCGTTCCCCTTCATCTATTCTTTTTTCTTCTCACTGTCATGACGAACAACAAGAGTTCTTTCCATCCGGCTCTTGCAGTTTCCAATATAAGGAACCATATTTCCATCACTCTTGAGATGGAGAATGTCTAATACTCTACAGGCGAAACTTTTTAAAATTATCGCACTTTCTCATAAGGCCCTTCAGCACATTATTTCTCTTGTCGATGACAATGAGAAGGTACTTGTGACTGAGGATGAAAATGAATTATGGTCGACTCTTGATGCTACGGTTGTTTCCTGGCTTTATGCAATCATCTCCAATGACCTGTTGCATACAATTATTGAATCCAATGCCATGACCATAGATGCTTGCAATAGGTTGAGAGATATTTTCCAAGACAACATGGTAACCCTTGAGGCTGAATTCTCTACTACTAAGTTGGAGAATTTTTCGAATGCTTTGACATATTGTCAACATCTCAAGTCCCTTGTTGATCAGTTGAAATATGTTGAAGCACCGGTGTCGGAGAGCCACCTCATCATTCAACTTATTTCGGGTCTCACAAGTGCATATCGTGGTGTAGGGACATTAATTCGACAGAGTGATCCCCTACTTTTGTTTTATCAGGCTCGATCAATGCTCACACTTGAGAAAGTCCGATTGACAAAGGAGGCTGTCACGGGATCAGAGTCGGCAATGGTGGCTGCTTTCCAATCCGTTTATGACTTAAATTCCTCATATTCAGACCAACTACACCACCAATAACATAGTGGGAAGTCGTTTGGATATCACAAGAATTCTGAAAAAAAAAAATTCGGTGACGGTGGTCGCGGTTCTGGTGGTGGCAAATCCAGTTGTATAGGGGGCAGCAGTGGTGGTCAGCAACAGTTTGGTGGGAGTCCACAACTGCAACCACAATGGGGGTCTTCACCTTGGCCGAATTACCTACCTTGGGATTGAATGGATCAATGGGCTCCTCCATGCCCATATCCAAACCACGGGTGGGCACTGGGTCTAGTACCACAGAGACAACAACAACCCGACGTTCTTGCGTCACACCCACAACAGGCTTACATGGCCTCTCAGAATGGGTAGTCCACTTCTGATGTACCTACAAATACTGAAGCAATGATTTATACTATGTCTCTGAGTCCCCCTGATCCATCATGGTACATGGACACTGAAACTACCTCTCACATGACATCTTCCAATGTGACCCGACATAAGGGTGGTATGTTCCTTTCACAGCGCAAATAT